GTTCCCAGGAAGCCAGTTCAGAGGAGCTGGAGGGTGTTTGTGTCTGGCAGGGGGGCTGCAAGGGAGCTGCTGCTGCTGGCTTTTATGAGGATGGCAGGGGTTTACACAGTGAAACCAGGTGGAAGAGGTTCCTGCCAAGCTGGGACATGTGCTGCTGCCAGAGCCGTGGGGCTAGTGAGGACCTGCTTGCCAGGCTGGGTGTGCACGTAGCACAGGAGGGCACAGACATCCATCCCCCCGAGGCAGGGGGGGCATCCGGCTCCACTACTGTGATGGGGATTCCCTGGATACAGGCTGGGAGTCCATCCCCGCAGGCCTGTTGGATTCCTTCTCAGGATCTGCACGTGGTGTCCCCTGCAGGGACAAATGTGATATCAATAACACATCCTGTGACCTTTCTGGGCCATCACCCCTTTGGGCAGTTCCTATTCCCAAAGGGATGCTCAGTGCCAAAACCAACAAGCCTGGGATGATGTTGGGACCCTGAAGCTGTGGGTGAAATGCCGCCAGACCCCCATTTCTGGGGGAAAGGCATCTGGAATAAGGAGGACAAAGACGTGGCATTTAAATCCCAACAACCTGCCCCTGCATCAGCTGCAGAGCTGAGGCTGCTGGGAGCTGGAGGCAGTGCAATTCATATCCTCTGAGGACTCGTGGTGTGGAGTCACCCGTGCGTTAGAATTGCTTCATTTTATTGACATTCAACAAAACCCTGAGACATTGTGTTCCTGCTCCCACCAGAGCAGTGAGGCATCCCAGCTCCAAAGCACAGATATCCCATTTTGGGAGGGGACAGAGAAGCCCTCTTGGTTTCTAGTCCTTTCAGTACGTGCAGCCCCATTCTTGTCTGCCCCATCAGGGCAGCTCTTTGGGGTGCTTCCCCATCACTGTCCCAGTTTGGGAAGAGGGGATATTGGCCATTCCTGTATCTTCAGCCAGAGCCCTCTTCCAGACCCAAAGGAGACAGGGGAAAGTGCAAAATCACGTAGTGTTTCCTGTAATGCCTCATTGAGCAGCAGCATCCAAAACAAACACCAGAGATGTTCAAACAGGCCAAAATCTCAATCAGTGTTTCAGACAGCACCCCAGGAGCATCACACCCCAGTGTGTGGAGCCACCCCATCCCCACGACACCCTGGTGGCTGCTGGAGCTGGGGGCTAGTAGTGGCCAGGTCTGAGCTGCTGGACAGTGCTCCTGCCTCAGGGGCTACAGAGTTATTCTGCAGAAAATCTTTTTTCAAAGCATCCTCAGGAGGCACATCACCACAGAGGTGGGACCAGATAGCCCCCTGCATGCACCAGAGGCTGTTCATCCATCCCAATAATCAAAATTGAAATTTCCCTTCAAACTGCTTTTCACTGAGCTGGCTATCATCAGACCCCTAGAGAGGTACTCTAAATCCTGTAAAAAAAGAGAAAAACAGCTGTAAAAAACTTCTGTTGCAGCACATCAAGCCCTTGGTGACATCCTCTTGGTGAACACAGCACACATCATATTCCTGGGGACTGGTAGTTGGTGGCTATGATGGAGGACAAGTAGCTCCCTTATAGCAGCTCCAATAGCTGCTCCATCTTTGTACCTCCTCCATCCCCCCACCTGGGATGGTTCTTAACCAACAGCTCCTCGTGTTGGCCAGTGGTTATGAGAAAACGTCAGCCACTCTAGCATCACCATCACATGCACTCAGCCTTCTGATGTCTCTTTTTGCAAAGGGATGATTGGTTTTCACATGGCATCAGCTGAAAATCCTCATCCTAGGGTTACCCATCTCATGGTCAGGAAATGTTCTCCTGGCCCAAGGCAGCAGAAGAGATATAAATTTGGCCAGTGATTTCCAAAATCAATAAGAAACATGCTTCCTAAGGATAAGTGAGTTGAAGAAAAAGGAGATGGATCACTGGCTGTTCACTGCAACATAGCAGCTTACTTCAGAGTCCACATTTCTATCCTTCTTGACATCGTCTTCCAGAAGGTACCTGGAACCTGGCTCCTAATTTCAGCCAGTAGAGCCAGGGCCCTACTGCTGCCCAGCAGGATGCAGCCTCAGCCAGAGGTATCCTCACCCTTCCTTGTGATGGGGCCAGAACACTCCATGCTGCTGTCACACATATCCCCATGACCCCCCTCCTCCCACTCTCCAAACCATGCTGGCACTGGTCACACTTCGATGAGTCCCTCTCCATCCTCAGACAGGGACATGGGTGCCTCTCATACACAACACAGTCTCTGCTCCCTTCCCCACTCCCTACACACCAAAAGTCCCCATACTCAGGGCTCACCTCACTTTGCCAAAATTCAGCAGCATCTCCCCATTTTTATCCCCACAGCAGCCTATTCCCCATAATCCAGGTTCGACACTGGTATTTCTCAGGCCAGCCCTGATGCCCCTCTCTCCTCCTGGCTCTCCTTGGGCCCCTGGGTGCGATGGGGAGGGGTGTCACCCCCTCCAGCCCACCCCACAGGTCTCCATCCCTCCTTGTGCAGCTGTGCAGGATGCTCTTTGCTCTCCAGTGCCTGGGGAAGACCCAGCCCTATCTCTCCACTTCTCATTTTCCACACATGCCCCGAGTCTGCCAGTTCTCATCCCACAGGGCTGTGAACTAATGAAGGCCGATCCCTTTAAGGGTTAAAAGCTTTCAGGCCCCCACCCCACCAAGCAAAAGGGTTAACCCTTTAACTCTTAACCCCTTGCTGAGCACCTCTGCTCCCCGCTCTGAGCTTTTGCCACCCCAAGGGATCCGATCTGGTTTGAGTTAAGGCTTTGTGTGCGCCCGGCTCTGACTTCGGAAGAGTAATTTGAATAACAAGACTAATTGGATTTATAAAGCACAGCCTCCCCCTTCCCTCCCTCAAACCCGAGGCTCTGCACAGTATGACAAAGAAAACACACTAATGAAAACCACGCTAGTGAGAGCCCAGGGCAGGGACGAGCCTCCTGCGGGCGGGCACTGGCTGAGCCCTTACCGCGTTGTGGCATTTGTGGCCATGCTCTAATCCTCCGGGGCGAGAGGCTGCTGGATCAGCTCCGGTACCGACCCCACGAACTGCAGCGTGCGAGGGGGGCTGGTGGCAAACGAGGCGGCCCCTCTTGCCCACACTGTGACATTTCTCCGCAGCCATCTGCCTCGTCTCCTTTCCCATCCCGGGTCCACCGGGAGAAGCCGCGGGGCAGGCTGCCCACAGCATCAGAGCAGGAGCCAGCGCAACCAGGACGGTAATGGCAGGATTCTGTGGGGGCTGCTGAGCTGCTGGTGGCTCGGGCACCCCGACATCCCCAGGTTGTGGAGACCCGGGGCTCAGCTGCTGCTCCCCTTTCCCCTGCAGAAGCCTTGCTGTTGGGGGTAGTGGTGCAGAACCTCCCGTTCCTTGCACCCTGGAGAGGCTGGCTGTCGCATTCCAGCTGCACTTCTTGTGGGACAAGGACTGAACCCCGAGAGAAGGGGCCTCTCTCTGCTCCTTGCCTGCACCCACGGCTCTCTGGCACCCGGGGTCGGCTCTAATCCCGACTCCATCACTTCGCTCTGCCTGCAGGCAGACAAATGCCCAAGCACAGCTTCACACTCAAAAAAGTCCAAGTTGTCTCCACCTGGCAGGCACAATGGAAAAAACACCGAGACCTTCTCCTTCCAGCTCCCGTTCACATGGAGCTGAAAAGCCAATCTCGTTTGAAGTGTCCCGTGCCCAGTAGCCCGAGCTGTGCAGGAGGAAACATCTCCCTGCTCCTGAGCAGGGACACTACAGACCCCCAAAGAGCCATGGTCCCCCAGAAGGGGCAGCTCCCCAGATATTTGTGGAGTAGCAGAGCCCAGAAAGACCAGGATATAGAGCAGTAGGAAAGGACCAGACTGGAACAGACCCCAGGGACAGGGAGAAGAGTAGAGAATGTTTCCCTGGTCTCAAGGCAGGGATTTGGGGTGCAAACCCAGTTTAATGCACTTCAGCCCTGGATGCTTCTGCAAATAAAGGGGTGTCTTTCCTCTGGCCTCATGCCAATAAGAGCATTCCCCCTGGACAGAGGGCCAGGGACGATGCTCAACTCTGTCAGCAAAAAGCCAGCAGAGCTCCAGAGCTGCCCAGTGCCAGCCCCAGCAGCAACAGAGGCACAAATCCTGCCCTGCCAGCCAGGGAAGGGGAAGGCTGAGGGCAAGGGGCCTCCTCAGAGGACCTGCGATCCACGGGGGCTAATCCTGGGATCACACCTTTCTCCGGAACCCTCTAGCTCCGGGAGCAGGTCAGAGGGAGGCCAGGCTGCACTGCCCTGTGGTGGGTCAACCAGTGAGGTCCTGTCACCAGAAGGGACCCTGTGACACTGACTGTGCCCTGCAGAGGACATCCTCAGGGTTGAAAAGCCCCATCTCCAGGGCCAGGAGCACCATCCAGATCCTCACAAAAGCAGAGAGAGCAGGTCAGCCCTCCGAACCGAGATACCCACTTATGTGTCCTCAAGAAGCACTGCCGCCCCCTCCATCCCTTTGTGTCCTCAGCGTCCCTATCACGGAGGGCAGTGGCCCTGCTCCTGACAAGCAGGGACCTGGGAAGCAGAGTTTCTGATTTAATCCTGGATGTGAAACGGGGCGGGGGGGAAAAAAAAATTTAAAAGGTGCTTTTTGCGCTCATTCCTGTCTTTTGGGATGAATCCCGCACCGAGACCACCACCCCCTCCCCACCCCTGTCCTTCCGCGGGAGGTCAGCAGGGCAGTGCGGGGAGTGAAGGGGCCGTGGGGCAGCCAGCGAAGGGGGGCAGACAGCTTGCAGGGGGTACGGGGGCGTTTGGGGTGGGCGAGGGCATCAAGCCAAATGCCCCCCGCTTTCCCTTTCGGGTCTCCAGCTCCCGGAGCTGGTCGTCTTGTGTCATTTGTTACTGCCGGGTAGAGGGGATACCACCCCCCCCCCCCCCTTTAAATTCCTGCCATTGTGGAGTGCAGACCGGGTTGGACCTGGGTATTTAGATGACATCACCGAGCAGGTTGGGTTATAAAATGAATGAAGCAGAAAGCAGCCCAAGTTCACTAGCTCGGCACTTCGCAGGCGGCAGGAGGGACCTCGGGGCTCCGCTCTGAACTTTGACTCCCGTCGGTCCTGTCCTCTCCCCGGGGCTGCCCTCGGCTCCCCGCTGCCCCCCCGAGCCTTCCTGCTCGGCCCCGCAGGATGCAGATCTCACCCTTGCTGGCTGGTGGACTTTTACTCGCGCTGCTCTCCGTCAGGCTGGAGGCGAAGCCGGCGTCTCAGCTCCCACAGAAGGTACGGCTGGAGCTTTCTCCAGCTCTTCCTCCTTTTCCCGGTCCCGCTCAGAGCCCTGACGGCACACGGGGAGACGTGGGGTGACTGTGGGGTGCCAGATTCAGAGCAAACAGGGGTTTTTCTCTCCGCATGGGCTGTTTAACTGCAAGGGGGACTCCCTGCTTCTCCGGGCTGTCCCGAACGTCCGGGGACATCAGCCCGGAACCAGTGGCTGGAATGGGACGCCGTGTTCCCCGTAGCCCGCGGGATCGGGACAGGAGAGGGTGGCAGTGTCTGCTCCCCGAGGTCACCCTGGGGACCCCTCTGTGCCGGGCACGGGGAGGGGAAGCAGAGGCGGAGCGGGGCAGGCAGCAGGTGCGCGGGGGGAACAGGGTGCGAGACCAGAGCCCTCCGGGCAGTCCTGACCAAACCGGCCGGGCAGGGGCACAGAGGTCCCATGGGGAAGGGGCGCCCCAAATGAGAGTGTCTCAGGGACCTGGTTCTTCCGAGATGCTGAGGAGAAGGGATGTGCCCGAGGCCACAGACACTGGGTGGCACTGCCCCAAGGTCTAGGCACAGAGATGGGGACACGGTCTGAGAAGTGCCCTAGGACAGCAGTGGGACCGGAGTTATGGTATCTCTGTAAGGCACTGGGGTGCAGGCTGAAGAAAAAGTGTTGATACAGGGAGATGTTGGGAAAATGAATGAAGATGGACATTTCCAGGGCTTGGTGGGCAGCAGCTCTGAGCATGCCTGGGAGATGGGGGACAGTGAGGAAGGAGGTGTGTCCCTCTAATTGTGGGTCAGAATTGGAGGATTGGGAGGACACAGAGAGCATTAACTAGGGGAGGGAGCGGCAGGGAGGAGGAATCCTGATCTCCAAACCACTGCTGGGGACACTATGCAAGGCAGAGGTGCAGGGGGAGCTGTGGGGCAGGACCCCTCCCCATAATCTGAAGAGGTCTGTAAACTGGTGAGGGATGCAGTGACCGAAAGAATCTGAAAGGAAAGGACCTGCCAGCTTTCAGACTCCTTCAGATTACGGCTTAATGGGGAGGACGGGACAGGACAGTGACAGCAGCACAGCTGAGGGATGCAGCACCTCCAGCCCTTTGAAGGGGCGGTGTGGATATACACTAACCGGGGAAGGAAGACCCCGCTATGGTGTGGGTCAGGGGGATGCTCTGACCCCAAGGAAGGGAGCACAGATGTAGGGAGGGGAGAAGACGCCCTGGGCACAGCCGCGGGGTGGTGGGCTGCACCGTCGGGCACAGACCCAATCGCGAGTTTGCATCGCAGAGGGGATACACCGACCCCTCTGCGCGTCCCTTTCGGGGGATCCTCAGCACTGATGGGGCTCGCTGGGGACGGCGGCGCTCTGACCCTCTCCTCCCCACAGGCCTCTCGCGGGTCGGCAGCGGCGGCAGCAGCGGCGGCGGCGGCGGCGGCGGCAGCGGGTCCGCCCGAGGCGACGGAGCGGGAGAAAGAGCGGGAGAAGGAGCGGAGCGGCGGCGGCGGCGGCTCGGGGCCGCGGGAGGCGCGGGAGGCGCGGGCCGAGGCGCGGCCGCGGGCGGGCTGGGCGCGGCTGCTGCAGGACCCGCCGGGCCGCCGCCACAAGGGCCTCCACAAGAAGGGCCTGGGCAAGGGCTGCTTCGGGCTCAAGCTGGATCGCATCGGCGCCATGAGCGGCCTCGGGTGCTGAGGGACCCCTGGCGGTGAGTGCACGGCCGGGCCGGGATGGGGCCGGGATGGGGCCGGGATGGGGCCGAGGGGCTGCGCTCTGGTACCGCGGGGGATGCGGAAGATGCGCTGCCCTGGGAACGCGAAATGACAGCGGACGGGACTGCAGGTGTTCATCCCGCTGAGCCTCGCAACTCCCGGCTTTGCTGGCGGGCAAAGAGGAGGAGCCCAAAGCTTGCCTTATTACATTCCCGTCCGGAATCCACCGGCCCTCCTGCTGCCTTGCCCTGCAAAAGGGTCAGAGACCCCAGCTGCTCCCGCAGCAGCTCAAACTGGATTCCCCCTAATTTGAGCTAGACCCGTAGGCTCCGGGGAGGATGCAGGAGGAGCTCCGGTGCAGCCACGTTCCCAGCTTCTCCATGTGCTTGACACACATAGGTGACCTATGGATAGGTATTAAGAGGGCAGGATACCCCCTGTGTGAATTAGTGAGGCTCCTGTCTCAGCCATGCCCCAGTGCTTTTAATTTAAGGAAAAACAATACATAAGTTCCCCAGGTGCCTTCTAGGTGTGGTGACAGCCAGGAGTAGCACTTTCCTAACTGCAACTTTGTATCTGAACAAGTTATAGGAAGCTGGGAGTTCTTCCCACGGTGCTTCTCAGCCACCGCATAGCACAATGGGTGAAGGATTGTCACTTCCCCATAGGGATGAGTTTGGGAAAAACACGGCAGTGCCTCCCCTGCCAGGTCTCCCTGCAGGTGCTGGGGACAGTGAGGCACCGTTCTGGCCTAGCCCTGCCAGCAGGACACACACAGATGAACTGGCACTTTGAGAAGCACTTACCACTGCATCCCAGGCCACTTGTTCTTCTTCCCATGGCACAGCACTGCCCCACTCACAGGGACATGCCTGGCCCTGCAGTAACATAACTGGGCACAGAGGAGACTGCTGCTCTGCAGAATGATGGGAATAGTACAACTGAAAGGTGCCTACAGGATACCAGTGCTGGTCTATGGCCTGCTCTGTAGGGATGGGTGCTGTTTCTCTCTCCCCTCATTTAAAGACTCCTCAATATTGCCAAGTATTGCCAGCTCAGGGCTCCAAGAGGAACACATGTACCCCATGTAGGAGGTCACACCCATTCTCTTTCACTAAACCCATCAGAACAAGAAAAAAACTCCACCAGACACAAAGGCAGGAGAAGCAGCAGCTTCCCTCAGCCTCTCCCCTGAACACCAGCCAGAAAGCAAAGGGTGCACTTCCTCCTTGCTTTAGCACAAGCAAAAAGCTCATGGATGGCTTCTTCTGAGTCCAGCACCCCCCAGCCCCAGGCTACAGTTACTTTGGCAGGGGTTTTGGCTGGGGATGGGTAGGGGGTGTTGCATGGCAAGTACTAATGGGCACTTTGTTCTTGTTCCTCGCAGGGCTTTGAATCCATAGTCCACTTTTTCCTACCATGCGTGGCCAGGCACGGCTATCCCCCAGGCAACACCTAGAGAAGCAGAGACCCCCTTGGAATGGACAAAAGATGTGGCTGTGTTTTTCTTTTTGGTACGAGGAGTCATGGCACCAACTGTTTTGGTTTTGTTATTTTTTTAACAAGTGCTCTCTATCTTATATATATTATATATACAAACACTCACCAAGACAAGGGACAGTGCTTTTCCAAGAGACTGATGAAGCCAGCTGCATAACGTTGCTGTTTGTAAATTCATGTCATGCATAAATGTATTTATGTTGTAAAGCTATTTATATATTGTTTATAAAGAGATATTTATAAAAAAATTATTTATGTAACTAAATGAAAAGTCAAGTATTGTAACATTTTTTGTCCTAAGTAGTTGAAAAACTTTAAAAAAAATCATTCCGTGTGGCATTTTGTAACCTGTCTTTATTTATCAAATTCACATACAATTTAAAGTGATTGATTTTAACAGAGCTAAAGAAGAAATTGTTCAGATGTTTTAGAAAAGTCAGGAGTGAGAGAAAGGCCAGCTGATATTTTAAGCTTTGATCCCATATGCAAAAGTAAACTTGTGCCCAATCCTGTGATGCTCTGGTGGACTGAATCCTGCCTGGTGCAGCAAGACTCTGCAGACCCCAGCTGAGCTCCCTGTGAGAGCACACAGCCTCGGGCAGCACATCCGTGCCCAGATCCCAAATGGCACCTGCGAAAATGAGCCCTCCATGGTTAACAGCCAAGCCCTGGATTGACAGCAGTGTGACAAGGGCAGCATCTGTCTGAGACGTGCTTTAACCACTTCTAGTCCAAGCTTCAGCCCATAACTACAGTTCTACCACTGGTGCTGGATGGAGATGCCGTCCCTGCTGACATCAACAAAGAGCCCACGCTGGATCTGGCCCCTGGCCGTGCTGGTGGAGCAGAGCTTTGTGCTGGAGGCAATGCTATTCCAGAATCCAGCAGCCCACTAAGTGTCTTGTTGATATTCTCATTTGCCAGCCCTTTGCCACTAAGCTGTAAAGTCCCTTCCTCCAACAAAGATTTATTTAACTGAGCCAGGGACAATACATAGACAGACCAAAATATACCGAGAGCTGCCTGGTAAGGGTTCATGGACACAGCTGTTGCTACAGCTTCTTGCTATGTAAAGTGCATGAAATAAATCGTTAAAATGCCTCGGAGCTCTAAAGGAAACAGCAAGCGAGGGGGCGGGGAGTGCAGTAAACACACAAACTCCCGCTTGAAGGCTCTTTGGTCTCATTCTTCAAAGAGGCCTTAGAAAAAAAGAGAGTGGCAGGCGCCCAGCCCAGCCGTGACAGGAGTCACAAATTATGCCCTGGCCATTGTAGTGTAGTGGGCTGGGAAACAACGAGCATTATGTTCCACTGGGCTCTGGTGCCTAGGACAGGGCAAAGAGAAAGTCACCAAGACCCAGAGGCAAAGCGACCCTTTTCCTTAGCAACCACCAGGAAACCATAGAAACCTCCAGCCAGACTCACCCCAGCTCTGACAGAACACTGGGTGCACAGAACAAGAAGATTCATCCAGACACCTGACAGCTCAATCACCAGGTTAGGAGCGCATAGGGGATGTTTCTGACCTTGCATGAGCACGGCCTCCGTCAGAGACAGGTACCCACCTCGCAGTGCCCACAGGGTCCAGCTGGATGGGGAGCAGCAGCTGATGGGCCATGTAAGATGTTGCCTATGGGGAACAAAATCAAGACTCTGGCAGGGAGGAAGGCAGGATGGGCAAGTGACAGCTCCCATAGGGAATGACAATCCACTCTCACGGCTCTGTAAGGCAAACACACCTGTGAAGGTCACCTTTCCAGCTCCACACATCTTTAGAGGGAAGGAAGGGCTATATCAAGAGCTCCCACAGAGATGCCCGTTAGAGGGGATTGTCTGCTGTCACCAGGAAACCTAAAGGACAATAAGGAATTGCTTACTGTGCAGACCTTGTACAACCAGAGGTGTAAGAAAGTGGTGCTGCAGGTCCTGTTCAGAGTCCTCATCCTTGAGCAAGAAGCCAGAGTAGTGACCATGACAGAGGCTGAGACCAAGGTGGGGACAATTCTCCTTCCAGTTTTGGCTTTTTGCTGCAAGCCAGAGCTGAAATAAAACCACCTGCCTGGTGACAGAGGGGTTGTTGTCCTCAACACAGCAGCAGTGACTCAGTCTCACGAATTCAATCCACACGATTTGACCAGAGGCAGAACCTGAGATAAGGTTGGGAGATAAAAGATCACAGCCTGGATCCTCTTTTCTCCTCGGCAGCATTGTCCAAGAGAAAAAGCACAGCCCACTGGGCTTCCTGGGAAGCCCAAGGAAAAGGGCAAAGCTGTATGGCAAAAGGCCATTAGCTTGGCAGAGAAGAGCAATCAGAGCTAGAGCTCCTGGTGCAGAGGGAGAGGATAACAGCTTGGTTCCTCGCTTTGCCGCTTCTGGTCTGACCAGGGATAAGCCATCCTGTCCCTCAGGATGTGGATTCCTACCAGCAGGATGGGAATATTACGCCCATGTGTGGTGGAGCTGATGTGCAAGAGAAAAGGCAGCATTCAGGGGTGAAAGAACGCTTGAGAAAGTTCAGATCCACTCAACCTCAGCCCCTCTGTGGCACAGCCAGAGCAGTGGGTCTGACAGGCAGAGAGTGGCACTGCCAGCAGAGGTCAATTCTCAGAGCACTGATGAGCACTTTCCTGCTTCACTGGACAAGCAAGAATGGGAATCAAAAGGGGCTCATTAGAACACAGCAATCACCCAAAATGGCCACAGCTGGGTCTCCCTGACCCAGCAGAAAACAAGGGCAGCAAGAAAGAGGGGCCACAGGAATCTAATTAAGAGGCAAGGAGGCATCTTGTGCAGCAAAAACAAATTCATCTCGCATCACTGCCTCCCCTGTGGGTCAGCTAGGTCAGATGCTCACAGCATCCCATGAAAGGATCCATGGTCAGCCCTGGAAAACTCCTCTGCTACATCCCAGCCCCAGACAGCATAAGTGAGAAACAGTTCTGGATGCAAGGTGCAGCCTCAGGAGGTGGCATCTTATATCTCAACCACAGTTTCAGACAACAGCCTTTAGCAGAAATGTGTTACACACACCTGGAAGTGAGGGGAGCCGGAATCCCCAGGGTCCCCTGTCCATACTCAGGTCAAATTAGCACTCATGGGACCTACACATTTCCTGTACCACCAGCTGAATGAGCAGTAGCCAATTCAGCTTCCAAATGGGAACATTTCTGATATGACATAGCAACAGCCTTGACTTCTCCTCTCCAGGAGCAATTCCTAGCAGGAGTTGAGCCATAGGCCCCCAGCCTGAAAAAGCACACAGCTCTCTAGTGAAAAAGGACAAAGAGCTTCCTCCAGTGCTGTAGAACAAATGCCTGGGAAAGCCCAAACAGGCTGGAGCAGACCCTAGAGCACCCACAACAGGGACACTGTTGCCGTCTAACATGTGGGAAAACAATTCTGTTCCCCCAGCCCATATTGCATGTTTTTCCCTGGTACCATTCATGCAACTTTTCCCAGGTATTTACTGCTGAAGGGTTACAAAGCCCAGCTCAGGTGACAGCAAATCCCAAAGCAATGAAGAAAAAGAGAAGCCCAGAGTCCCAGAGCATGAAAGCAAAGGAATTTTCCATCTGGAAAGGGACTTGAGGCATGGAGCAGGGACTGCCAAGGGCAGCAACACACATGCCCCTGCCACTTGCTCCAGGACTTCTCCAAGCATGGGCTGATTCCCTCAGAATGCAGAAGAACAAAGGGAAGGGATCACAGGGCAACCTCCAGAGGGAGCCTGAACCTGACACAAGTGTGAGTTAAAAACAAGAAGGGAATTGAATTCAGGCCCCCTCCTGTCAGTCAGCAACTAACCTTGTCAGAAGGGATGGCAGCACTAACAGAATCAGGCAATTCATTAGGTTGGGGCACGCAGCAAAAGCCCACGCTCTCTGGAGCAGAACTACAGTGAAAATCCAGGGTAATGAGTTGCAAACTGCCTTTGTAAATGACACTTCTGCAGCGACTCTGGCAGGATGGGAAAAGAGCTAATAGGAAAATCATTAGGTAGCATCCCTTTGATATTGTTGAAAACTGCACAGGCTATTTTTCCTGCCCCCTCCATAATTAACCTGGTATATTACCCATAATACTCCAGGCTGATAGTCCACCTTATCTGCATCAGGGGAAAAGAACGGTATGCTACTTAAAAGGAAGACAACTTCTGGGAAGGCTTTAAAGGTGTAAGATTTCCCCCCTACCATACATACATAACTTCTTCAACTCCATCAACAACTAACCTCTGCCCAGCCAGGAAACCAAAACCCTGCCACAGTCAGGAGGCAGGAGCAAGGCTGTCCTGGGAAATGCAGCTGCAGAGGAACTGATCTGCCCAAGGTTGCTCTCTGCAGCTGCAGCAGAGCTGGGAGAGGACACAGCTCTGTGCTTTGCCCCTTATTTGCAACAGTGTCCTTGTCCTTGATTTTTTTTTACACTAAACCAGGCTACAGCCTGTGCCTCCTGGGATGCAGAACAGCTCTGAGGAGCAATGCCTACCCACCTGGCTTGTCTGCCAGCAAGGAGAAGTGTCATCTCAGAGTCGTGATGTAAAAGGTACAGCATCACAGCTGGCAGGTGATCCTGAAGGAACTGGTGCTCTCTAACAGCTGCGAAGGTGATAGTGAAACACCGAGACGTTACTGCATCAGCACAGAGCAGCCTTAGGACTGGGCTAATCATGAGACACAGTGAGACACAGTGAAACAGAGGGCTGGTGAGATAAACAGCATCTTTGGGAAGAGTCTGGAGGGTGAGAGAGCACTACTTCCAAACCTCATACCCGTGAAAATACAGCCTATGGTCAGACAAGCTCCAAATACTCACAAAGAGGCTGATCCCAGACGGAATGAGGCTTTGCTTACCTACCACAATCAACTCTTCTGGAAACACAGAGGTATCATGTGGGCTTAGGGCATTTCAAATACACCCTAATGATACAGATATTCCAAAAGGTCTTTGGAGATCTGGAGATGTGGAAGTGTGTCTCATCTTCCACTAGAATTAGAGCAAGCAAGGACTACTGGCACAAATTCTTTTGTGCTCTGTGGGGAAATACATAATTCAAGACAGTTAAATGACCTTATGGCATCCCATTTCTGCCTGGAATTTCCAGTGTGTATGTATGCATCATCACTAGAGCAGGGACATCTTTTCTTATCAACAAGAAAAGACTCTGGTCACAGCTACCACACTCAGGCAATTTGCAGTGAGGCATGTTATGAGATGTGCATAACTGCACAAAGAAGCATCCATGCCTGTGGATTCACAGACAGGGAGCTAAGTGCTGCTCTGCCCATTCCTTTGCCTGGCTGACCAATCGGAGAGGAGTAGCACCACGGTTATGCTGAGAGG